CCATTTTTTAAAAGACAAAAAAACGTGAAAGTCACAAGTGGACCAGTGTTTGTGGGCACAAATACGATTGATGACATCATGCTACTGGAAATTCCTCCACAACCAGGCAGGATCACCGTTGCCTTACCAAACTGTGCAAATCCTCCCAAAATGTAAGTTGTGCCTATACCAAACAAGTGTGACACCTTGCTGACTTTTACACATTTTTATTTCTAAAGAATAACTCTGGAGTCCATTACTCACAATTATTAAGGAAATTTAATACGAAAACATCATTTGATAAAATATTATATATTAGACCACGACAGCAATTTACAGTGATTGTTGTTCTAACTGATGAAACAAGACTGAAACAGCAAATTTAACCAAACATGGAACAATTTTCAGAACGGGACTTAAACAGGTTCAATCCTGTAAAACAAGTTAATGAAGCAGGCGAAGATGGTTATCATCCTGGTCAGGGCAGTGTAGAGGAAAATGAAGATGACATCAAGATGACATCATACTTAGTGGTCAAGATGACATCATACTTGTGAAGTTCCAAACCCATTACTGACATATATGGATGGATGTGAGATTAATTTATGATTATTTTGTTTTTGTCTGTTTCTAGAGGACATGTTGTTCAGGTTGCAGGACTTGGTGGTTATATGGTAAATGCCACGGGCCACACACGTAAGACCATTTTTGTTTGATTATTTTATGCTAGAATTCTGATTGTGCATTTTGTGTCTGTTTTATATTTATGTTTTTTTTATACTAATGAAAAACAAAGTGTATTTTTTCATCCTATAGTAGATATACTGTATGCTAGGTTCCCTGATTAAAAATCATGTGGAAACGTCCAGAAAAAATACAAAACATCATTCTTCTCAAATTTTTAGTTTTTGAAACGTTATGAATGATTTTTGTTTTTGTCCTTTTTTCTCTAGTCGATGATGAGCCACCTGATCTCCTGTGTGGAAACATGCATGTTGTCAAGTGTCCTCCTCCCAAAAAAATTAGCTGTTATTCAAATAAGATAAAGCTGCCGTATAGCAACAGGTTGTGTGTGCAAGAACCTAACATAGATACACGTGAGGTGAGTTGGCATGACTGCTAATATTACTGGATATCATCTGTGTATGTTTTAGATATTTTGGAACAAACTTAAGCGCAAACTATATTTTTCTCTCTCAGGGTGATTCTGGTGGTGGAGTGATATACAACAACATGATTTATGGTGTAATCAGTTCTGGCCAAGACCGTGCCTGTACTGGACCAGCTGTTACTGTGAATGTTTGTTCTTACATGACCTGGATAAACCAGGAAATTAATCCAAGAAGTAATGGAAAATAACTGAATGAAAAATAACATCCAGAATAAACAATCATCTCTACATGAAACTTGTGTGCGATGTGTTGTTTCTATTCTAGAATATCTTGATGTTAACTCTAAATAGTAAACCTTTTTCTTTGGTTTAAGGGTTAGATTTTGTGTGTCTTTGAATGTGGTGTCAGGTGTGTAGCAGCTCATCCTGTTGTTCAGAAACTCTCAGACTCACACTGTGAAGATGCAGAAAGGCTTTCTGATCAGACATGCTACCAATCAGCTGCACTCATCCAAGTGACTTCTTCAGTCTCAGCTGACTGCAGGTTTCCCCAGTCTTATAAACAGTACATTTGCAAAATGACTGAAACTAGCACCACTGATCCCATTGATCAATGGCCTTTGATCAGTAGTTGTTCATCAATGGTCATGAGAATCTGT